GCCGTGTCGGGGACAGCGAGCGTGTGACGTGAGGGGACACGGCGGGGATGGGGAAAAATAGAGGAAAACCAGGAAAAACGGGCACAAATGGGGCAAAACGGGCACAAATGGGGCAAAAAGGACAGAACGCTCTTCAAAGCGAGGCCACAGTGTCGGGTATAACGAGAGTGTGCGGCCCGGCGGGGCGAGACGTGAGGGGACACGGCGAGGATGGGGGAAAACGCGGAGAATTCTCTGCGAACCGGCCAGAAAATGCAAAGTTTTATTTTAAAAATTAAAATATTAAATAAAGTAAGAGGCCAGCGCGGCTGTGGAGGTGTGAGATGACTGGAGCGTCTCTGACATGAGGCTGAGGGAGCTGGGGCGGGCTGGAGGAGGGAAGGGGAGAGGGGATCACATCTATTAAAATATTTCCAAGGGGTTTTGGGGGATGATGCCGGGCTCTGTTCTGTGGTGCTCGGTGACAGGATGAGCAGTGATATCCTAAGCTAAATCAGAATCCAAATTGCAGAATATTCTGGTGTAGAAGGGACTGGCAAGGATGATGGAGTCCCTTCAGTGAATGGCTCACATTGGAGTTGTCAGCAGCATGCTTGGACTGGCTGAGCTCAGGACAGATTAACACAACAAATTCCATCTCAGTTTATAGAAAAACTGGTTTCCATGGAGGTGGCAGGGCTGTGGAACAGGGAGGGTGTGGATCTCCCTCTCTGGAGACATCCCAAAGCCACCTGGACACATTCCTGTCACTTGCTCCAGGTGACCCTGCCCGGGCTGAGGAATTTAAGTTCATTTGAAGTTCAATTCCTCAGGTTTTTCTCATGGTTTGGGTTGGGAGGGACCTTAAAGCTCATCTAGTTCCAATTTTAGGCACCTTCCACTATCCCAGGTTGCTCCAAGCCCCATCCAAGCTGGCCTTGGACACTTCCAGGGGCAGCCACAGCTTCTCTGGGAATTCCATCCCAGCCCCTTCCACCCTCACAGGGAAGGATTTCTTCCTAAAATCCCATCTAAATTCACTGCTTAAAATACCACCATGATTTGTATTTTAAATAATTTACAGACATCAAACACTTGGCTGCATGGAGTTCATAAATAGTATTTTTGAACGTAAACATGCATTGAGTATCCCCTTAGTAAACACCTCGGTGCTGGTCGCTGAGAAAGCATCTGCTATCAGGTGTAACATTATTCAACACTTCCCAGCCTCTAAACCAGTCCCTTCTAAATGCCCCTTTTGTTTTTCCAGTTTCCCATCACTGCTGCTTGCATTGTTCTCCTTAGGAAAAAAAAAATAGAAAAAATGCCACATAATGGTGCATTGTATAGGGAAGGAAAAATCAGCTGTTTGTTAAAGGCCACTGGAATACTGCAGTTCTGGATCTGCCACGAGGTTTGGAGAGGAAAATTTAGATAGATGGGAGCTAATGGTTTCCTCCTTTGTGGGGTCTTTTACAGCAAATTCCACATTAAACGGGGGTGTCTGTAAAACAAACTGGATAATTGAGGAAATTACTGCAGGAAAGTGCAAGGTTTAGGTTAAAGTTTAGCAAAAAGGGAAGAGTCTTTGGGGCTGGGAGGGGAATGCTGAGCTGGGTCGGTTTTTATTGCCCGAGGGTCACTCTGAGATGTGCCCCATCATGGACCAGGAGCACCTTCCAACAGGACAAGCTGTAAACTTTAAACCTAAACCAGCAGAAATGTGTGAAACTTAACAGGACTCGAGTCACACAACAGGCAGTGGAAGCTTTTCCTGGAAGATGATTCAGAAAGAAAAACATGTGATAAACCGGTTGATTAGGACACCAAATGACGTCTTTTCTGTCCCAAATGTGACTCGAGGATCTTTGTGTGTCCCTCCCAGCCCAGATACTCTGTGATCACACAAACCCCTTTGTGGGGACCATCACCTGTGCTGGCTTTTCTGCTCACTTCTCCATTTCTTCTTTTATTTTTATCTGACGACTTGAGGAAAGAAAACAGTGCAGAAATAACTCAGACAAGATTATTCCAGAGCGAGCTTTGGAGCCTTTCAAGCCTCCAGGGGAAGGCGATTCATGAATGCCAGGCGGGCAGGGGCATCATTGATGCTCATCTCCATTCACCCAGCCACCCCCAACGCCACGTCCCCTATTTTGCTGTGTTCCAAACCAGCTGCAGCAGTGCCAGGGGAACAAGCCTTCACTGTCACAGCAGCCAGCAGCTGTCCCCAGCAGCACCCCAGCCCCGCTGGCTGGCCCTGGCACCCGAAATCGCTCTGTGTTCATTCAGCTCTGGCCTTTCTCCCCTCTGGCTGCCAGGATTTGGCTTGAAAGGGAGCAGAGAAAGCTGAAATGAGGAGCTTGGGAGGCAGCATGAGCACGGGGGGCTGCTCTGAAGGGAGCAGACGTGCAGCTGTGGATAATGCGGGCACACACCGAGCGCTCAGCTGCGCTTGCTGAAGGGGACGTGGGCACCTCACAGGGAATTCGGGAGCTTCCTTCTGCCAAGCCATTTCTTTGCAGCAGTAATAATTCTTCCCTTTAAAATCCCCAATTTTCCCTGTGGAAATCCAATCCTTAACTCCAGGATTAAGCTGGAAAGGATTTTTAGAGGAAGAATCACCTTTTTTCCTCGTGTATTAGTGCAGATTAATGAGGAGGGGCTGGTTTAGAAGAGGGATCCTTCAATGGTAGCATAGGACAAGCAATGAATAATCACAATAATCATAATTAATCACAGTAACCCCTATTATTTTGAAAATATGTTATCCAGGCTGTGCCGTGCAGGAGGAAAGAAGAGATCCAACACCTCGCCTAACATTTAATGTTTAATTCATATATGGGTGAGTTTTGATCCTGCATCCCAGAGCACATCCACGGGCTCCAGAGATTCCACGTGCTCTCATCCTCTAAAAATGCCTTCCCTGGCTGCCACTGGAAAGGAAATTTTTCCTTCCTGGCACGAGCAGGGCTCTGCCTGCTCTGGAGCCAACGCACACACTTTATTCCTGCAGGAGGAAGGGGTATGGAACAGAGGAACCGGGATGGGACATGGAGCAGCCTCCATCCCACAGGGGTGCTGAGGATTCCCGAGTGAGAGTGTGATGGAGCCAGGCACACAGACCTTGGATTTACTCCCTGATTCCCAGAAACACTGCCTGAGCTGGCCAGGAACTTTCTCAGAGGCCACGTCAGAAAATGAAGCAATATTCCAAATATCAGCCTCCGCTGTGCCCACTCTGTCAGGAAGAGCTGGATCTGTTCCCCCAAATCCTCTCTGAACTGGGTGCACTCCTAAAGCTCCAGTGGGCCACAGGAACCTGGGTTGTGCCCTCCTGTTGGAGATTTTTTCAGGGATGGCCTAGAAGGCAGCTGTGAGGAGCAGATTCTCACAGCCTGCTTCTGTGAACAGCAGAGGTTCTCAGGTTATTTTTAACTACAGGTAAAAGTGACAAACATGAAGGCCTTGAGAGCCTTGCACATCAGAGTTCTCAGGCAGCTTTCTCATAACAAGTGGATGTTCTATCTTTGGCTGTTTTGGGAAAGCAAGAATAATTTTGAGAACCCAAATCTTGGTATTGGAAACATAAGGAGGGGTTGGTATGTTATCTCTGACCTGTTGTGAGCTCAGATTTTGCAATATGCATGAAGTGAATTAACACTGTTATAAAAGGTGCCTGATTGATGAATAAAGTGGAGTCGATGGCTGACCAATGCAAGGTGGGTCGTCTCTCCCTCCGACTTCAATACCCTCCCAGATGTGCACCCTTTTCCTGGGAATGCTGATGTCAGGCCTGTGGGATCCTGCCCTGCAGCTCCAGCCCGTGCCCATCCCTGGGCAAACATCCCCATCCTTTGTCATACAAAAATCCGGCCACGAGACCCCGCGGCACAAACGGCCCCACTTGAACCCACTTGTTCCCTGAGCATTATCTCATTCCATTTCATGGCTGAGCGAACTTCTCAGGAAACCAGAGCTCCTGAGCACCTCCAGCTCCCTCCTTTCCCCGTGTTCTGGCTGTGTGAGGGCAGGAATTGTGCTCCATCCCCCAGGAGTGACACGGGAACGCGCAATGGTTGGTGCGGGATCGGGGACGTGCAGCAGGACACGTTCCCTGCCCCGCTCCCGGGCACGGCCTCATCCCCGAGCCCATCTCTGCAACAAGAGGAAACAACCACCCAAAGTCACCTTCCTCCTTCTACCTGTGCTGCACAAAGAGGAATTCAAGCCTGTGGGCTGGGAAGTGCAATTCCCTGCCTCAGGCAGGGCTGGGGAGCCCTGGAAGGCAGCAGCGAGCAGGGGAGAAAACCAAAGTCTGTAATTCCTCCTGTCCTTGGGGGCTTCTTTCGCAGGGATCTTTGGAGCTGGAGACAGGGAGCAGGAAAAAGGGGTTCTTGTTCCCATTCCTACCTCCAGAACTCCGAGCATCCCACAAATCCCTTCCCAGCCTCAGTCACGCACTGAGGTTGGGATCTTCCGAGGAAGGTGCTCCGCAGGAGGGGCTGGACTGGGAAAAAATGGACTAAAAATAGCGATTATTGCTTGGACTCAAACCTGGATAAAACAGATGAAACACTGGAATTCTGTGAGTCAAGGTAAATTGCCTAATGAGACAGGATTTATAGGAATATGCATTAATTATGGGTCACAGGAGAGGGGAAAAAAGATTTTCCCAAGTGTCCAACAGCATTGCAAAGTCACCAATCCACAGCCCAGGGAAACATAAACTCATCCCTAATCTCATTAAATTTTAGAAGAAAATTTCAATTATTCAATTAGCAAGTCCAACGTATTTAGTTTACCTTGAGACTTAAAATAATTTTTCTTTTAAAAATGCTTTGAAAATTGTATTTCAAATATGTCAGGCGGCAACTCTGCAAACAGAAAGCTGAAAACTGGGAAAATTACAGTTTGGGGTTTTTATAAAAAGAATAAAATTAAATCCTGCTTTGCCATTTGAGAGAACAAATTAATTTTCACATAGAAGGCAGACGAATATTCGGGCACATTTAAACACATTTAAATTCAAAGCATACGGTTTATTTATTACACATCACAATAATTAAACAAAAACCACCATGTTCTTGGTACTTTTTAAACACTAGAACGCCTGAAGCCCAATTTCTTATTTTTTCCCCTGTTAATATATCGTGACCCTCTATTTTTCCGAGGGGAAGCAGCAAATAAAACTTGAATTTGGGGAGTTGTTTTTATTTCCCCCTCCCAGTCGCAATTAGAAGGCTGAATTCCGCGGATAATTAAAATCAAATGCTCCAAAGAAACGCTGGAAGACCAGGACTGGCTTAGAAAGGGACAACTTCAACTGACAGGCGAGGTTTTGGGGGTCACCCTCCCTTTTTCCCCCATCCAAAGGCTCACCCCGAGGTGCCGCATCCTCGTCCGGCCGGGACCTCCCGTGCGCTTCCCGGTGCTCGGGATGGAGCCGGCTGCGGGAAGGCTGCGGGAAAAGAGGAGGGAAAGTTGGGGAGGGGACACGGAGGGTCTCGTGTCGCTTTTTTCCAGCGATTCCGCGATTTCCTCCGTTACTCGCCCGTTGGGGAGAGCGGGGCCGGAGCGGCGCGCTCGGGGCTGCGGGAGCGCACGGCCCGGGGGCAGCGGGATGGGCTGCGGGGACACACAGGGAGCTCTGCCCGCCCGGCCACGCACCGACCGCCCCGAAAACCCATGGAAAAGGGGATTTAAAATAAAATAAAATAAAACCGGCGGTCCCACGGCACCGCTCTGCCGTCCCGGAGCCGCTGCCGCTCCGCCACCCCCGTTCCGCGGCGCTGGGGAAAGGACGCGGCCGCTCCATCCCGCACCCGCTGCCCGGTACCCTGCTAGCAAACCGGGCCCCGGCTGCACACCGGAGCGTGAAACACATCCCCACCGTCGGGGGGTCCCCGCCAGTACCGCGCGGCGGTGAAGCACCCGGACGATTTGCAGCGGGAAAAGCACAGAGGAGCCGAAAGAGGCAGCCGGAGCAGGGAGCCGGAACAGCAGCGGGCGGCATCCACCGGGCCCGGGCGGCAGCGGGACCCTCAGCGGGACCCCGCGCTGGCGGCGGCTCCGGCCGGCGGAGCGGGAGCTCTGGCACGGCGGGCGGGCGGCACGGGCCCGCCGTGCGGAGCCACGCCCCTTATGCAAATCTCCGCGCCCTCTCCGCCAATGACGAGCGGCGGCGGAGGCGGGGCCGCTCGCCCTGCCCTTAAAGTAACTTGTTGCCAGGGGCCCCGTTTCGCACTGGACGTGGAGCGCGGCGCTGGCAGCGCGGGGCCCCGGCGGCGGCGGCAGGACCGGCTGCGGAGCGCGGGGGGTAGCGCGGATTTTGAGCTGAGTTTTGAGTGTTTCGCGTCTTTTTTTCCTCCTAGAACTTATTGTCTTTTACTCCTTTATCCCGCGGCGCCCCGCGGAGGGTGCGCGGCCCCCTGACCACCCCGGGCGGGCACAGCGCGCGGCCGGCCCGGCTCTGCCGCCCGCCGATGCTCAACATGACCGAGGAGCACGACAAAGCGCTGGAGGCTCCGTGCAGCCCCGCGGGCACCACCAGCTCCATGTCCCACGTGGACTCGGACTCGGACTCGCCGCTCTCCCCCGCCGGCTCCGAGGGGCTGGGCTGCGCCCCCGCGCCCGCCCCGCGCCCGCCGGGCGCCGCCGCGCTGGGGGCCAAGGTGGACGCGGCCGAGGTGGACGAGCGCTTCCCCGCCTGCATCCGCGACGCCGTCTCGCAGGTGCTCAAGGGCTACGACTGGAGCCTGGTGCCCATGCCCGTCCGCGGCAACGGATCGCTCAAAGCCAAGCCGCACGTCAAGCGGCCCATGAACGCCTTCATGGTGTGGGCGCAGGCCGCCCGCAGGAAGCTGGCGGACCAGTACCCGCATCTGCACAACGCCGAGCTCAGCAAGACCCTGGGCAAGCTCTGGCGGTGAGTCCCGACCCGACCCCGCGTCCTCCGCGGGGCTGCGCGCCCGGACCCCCCTCCCAGCGCTTCTGTAAAGCTTCTGCCCGCTTTGTTTTTGTTAATCGGGGGGTCTCGGAGCGATCCGAATGGCGGCACCATCCCCTCCCCGAGCATCCCGCGAAGGACACAGCGGTGTCTGCTCCGAAAAATCCCCCGAGCAGGGGCTTGGGCACCCTCGCTCTGCCGCGGGTGGATTTTCCCTCGGAGATGCACAAACCCTTCCCTTGCCTGCGGCTTCTCCATCCCCACGCGATGAGACTTTTTTAATGACTTGTTTTATGGCTTTTCCTATTTTTTTTTTCCTCCTTTTGGCTCGCTTGATGCTTTACAAGCTATAAACGCAGCTAAACTCATTTTTTAGCAGTTATTTTAACGAGCTTCCTAATTTCCCTGCTTATCTGCTCGGTGCTGCCTGGGGATGCAAACTTTTATTTGCTGAGCAGCATCCGAGCCCGCTTTGCTTTCCAAGGCTGTTCTCCGAGCCGCGTTTCTCCGTGTGCTTTATCCCGTGGTATATCGTGCTTTATCCCGTGGTATATCTGCCTGTACCTAATTCCCATCTTTTCCTGCCCGCTCGGGCCAGCGATGCTCCCGCTGCGGTTTGAGCCTCTCCAAGAGTTTGCAAAGAGAGGTGTGGGCAGGGGACAGAGAGTTTGGAAAGCAATAATCCCATCCCCGGTGCCTTGGTGGTTTCTTTGTAAGCACCCAACAAAGCTGGAAATGTTTGTGGCGGTGAGGGGGTGGCATTTGCAGGGCAAACATGGGAATTGTGTTTTGTAATTGTGTTAGAAATGTGGAAGGGGGATTTTGTTTTGCCCAGTTACCCCTGTCTATAGTGGTCGGGTTTTTCATGCTGCTGTAGTTGGTATTTTAATCCGGTTTTTTGCCGTGGATTTTAACTCCTTTTTACCACAGCTAATTAATTTTGTAGTTAACTTGCCGGGTGCTCCGATCCGTGCATGGGAAGCGGGGATGTGCGAGTCTAAAAACCGGAAGAAAACTTCTAAGGAAAAGATCCTAATTTTGGCTTTTTGATTTTTTTCCCCCCTCTCTTCCTCACTAAAACAACCAACCCCCCCAAAAAAACCAGTTTATTGAGCGAGAACGAGAAACGTCCCTTTGTGGAGGAAGCCGAGCGGCTCAGGGTGCAGCACAAAAAGGATCACCCGGATTACAAATACCAGCCCCGGAGGAGGAAAAGCGTCAAAGCCGGGCAGAGCGACTCGGACTCGGGGGCTGAGCTGAGCCACCACGCCGGCACTCAGCTCTACAAGGCGGACACGGGGCTGGGCGGCAT